TATAACTTTTTGAATATAAACTATTATGTAGTCTTTTTTCATACATCAAAGCAATTTGTGCTGCCCATATGTTCATGTGTGGTATTCTACTAGAATATGTTTGACCTGCCAATGGCAACACTCCAAAGAAACAGGTGCTTCCTCTCCCAGCAGGTATCAATTGCTTATACCTCCTCAGCTAAAGGTGGGGCTTCATTTACACCTTCCTTTCCCATGCTGGAATTTGGTGTGGCTTGAGGTTCACGGGAATTATGCATGCTGTCACAACCACTGTGACTTCATATGTGTAGCTGTCCTGCTGTGTCTAGAAAGCACTATTTCCACTATTTCCCTGTAGTCACCCACCACCTCTGGTTCATAGACTCTTTCCATCTGCTCTTCCACAACGATCCCTGAGCCTTTACCAGAAATAGGGAAGTATAAATGCTCTATTTACGGCTGAACATTCCAGTCCCAGTTCTCTGCATCTTGACCAGTTTTAGGTCCCTGTGTTGACCATTATCTACTAAAAATAGAAGCTTCTCTGATGACAGGTGAGAGATGCATTATGGGTGTAACACTGACTCATTAAGAATCAATTTAATGGGATGTCCATTTAGCAAATAAGCATAGTAGGTTCTGCCCCTAGAGTCTATGATCTGTCTAGATATCTGGGTTTTTTGTTTGGTTTGGTTTTGTTGGTGCAAAAATGGCACCAGGTATGGGCTTCATTTTATGGAGTGATACTGAAATCCAATCAGAAAGTGGTTCGAACCTGATGTTCAAACCAACGTTGCAGCAGTGGAGATGTCTTGCTAGGCCACTCATTATTGTAGCTCGGGCCTCACAGCTAGGTAAGACTGATGATGATGTTTCTCCTTTGGCAGCATGCATAGCCCCTTCAGACACTATGAGAGCTAGCTCATAGGGTGAAACTCCCAGGTTACAAATTTGGGTTAGCAAAGAAAAGGGGTGGATTTGGGAGGAGCCTGGCAAAGAATAAACATGATCAAAATTCGCTGTCTAAAAGTCTCAAATATCTAATTTTTTTGGTTTGTTGATATATGTATTGTTTTTATTGAGCTAGACATTTATCTCAACTCCCCTCGTTTCCTCCCCACTCCCCTTCTATTCTCTCCCATGACACCCACATTCCCAATTTACCCAGAAGTCAAAGATCTAATTTTTAAAAGAGAGGAGAGAGAGAGAGAAATGTTTTCAATGTTAGAAAATATATTTTTCCCTAAAAGCAATAAGAAATGGAAGGAGGCAGGAGTATGCTTTCTTACCTAGTATTGATAAGGTTTCTGACCTACCCATAATGTATGGGCTAGATAGTATTTGTGCTCAGGAATCATTGTCCACTTTCTCCCATGTATTGGCAGAACATTGGTTATTTAGACGTCATCCTTTTTAGAAAATGCAGGGATGAGTGCTCTGATGCCTGTGAACTCTTTTCAAATATCTAAGAACAACATGTACAGACACAAACATGTGTATACATACAAATGTCTAGATACAGACATGTAGATATGCATAATCATATACAAGTACATGAATGAATAAATCCATGTGGCAACTTGTTTAAATAAGCAAATGATGGACAGCCACCTTTCATCATGGTACAGTTCTAACTTTTCTATAAGCTTGCTATTTTTCATAATAAAATACTGGGACACGAAACAGTATAGAAATGCCTCTTTGTTGGTGAAGGGTTAATGACTTAAAAGCCTCAGGTGGCTTGAGATACTCTGGACATTGAAGTGTTGAATAATTCCTATGGAAACATCTGGAAAGGAGAGCCACATACCAAACCTGCTGGGATCTTCCACTTCTAGACTGCAGGGGAGCTGACCTGCAGATAACCTATTCCACTTCCCAAACTGTACCAGGCTTTTTTTGGGGGGGAGGGTGGGCACCAACCAGCTCCCTAATCAAGACATGGAGACTTATTACATGCTTGACCTTAACTTATGCTATTTTTGCTAGCTCTCATAATTTGAATTATCCTGTTTCTCTACATCCACGTTTTGTCTTGGGTTTTTTTTTTTACCTTTCTCTCTCTCTCTCTCTCTCTCTCTCTCTCTCTCTCTCTCTCTCTCTTTCTTTCTTTCTTTCTTTATGTCCTACTCCATCTAGCTAGCATGTGGCTGCCTAGAAGACCCCAGGCATGTCCCTCTCTTTCTCCTTCATTCTCTTCTCTCATTCTTCTCTCTTGAGTCTCAATTTCTCCACCTATTTATTTTTTCTGCCTGCCAGCCCTGCCTATCCTCTCTTGCCTAGCTATTGGCTATTCAGCTTTTTATTAGACCAATCAGATGCCTTAGACAGGCAAAGTGAAACAAATGCAACACATAATTACATAATTAAGAAAATGCAACATAAATAAATGTGGCACACATTTACACAAAGTAGTATCCTGCAGCGTAAACAAATGTGACATACATTTACACAAAGTAGTATCCTGCAGCGTAAACAAATGTGACACACATTTACACAAACTAGTATCCTGCAGCGTAAACAAATGTGACACACATTTACACAAACTAGTATCCTGCAGCGTAAACAAATGTAACACACCTTTCCCTAGTTAAAGTAATATTCCATAACACCAAACTGCCCCTTTTTCTGTCCTCTAAAATCCCAAGACCCTCACGCCATGCCCTCCCTCCCACAGAGAGACTGTGGTCCTTCAGTTGTTCTGATTAAAAGAACAATTATATTCCGCTTCTGGAGATGCCGCTCTGCTTTACTTTTATTTCCACGTCACCTTCATCAACCTGATCTAACATTTGGAAGGCTGGGGATGGAACCCAGGGTCTTGCACACACTAGGTAAATGCTCTAGAACCCAGGGATATCTTTAGCTCTTAGAGACGTCTGAATGTACGCCACATTGGGAAGACATCTGCGGTAGACTGGAACTCTTTCTCCTGGTTCTAGATATTTCAATTTTAGTCTAGAAGTCAGAGATCACACTGGCATCTTTGGGGGTCAATTCTTAAGTCCTATTGACCTACTCTGATCAAAACCCAACCTTACATTCCTCTTGCTATGCTGCTCTGCAAAGTCAGTGGGATTGAGTCTACCGTGCTGCAATGGGGTTTCGCTAGGAATGGCTTGAATATCCTTCCTAGCTTTGTGTTATATGCATGGTTTGATAGCTGTCCCTTATTCTCATACAAATCACTGGACAAGTGAGAAGATGGGGTTTCTGACGTATTCTAGATATTCTCTGGTGCTTATGAAACATTGAATCTGTACTCAGTGCAGCTCCCTGTTTATCCAGGGATATTTTCTACTCCGTTGCTTTTTGAACACTGCAATGATGCCACCCATTTTCATTTCATAACATCAATTCAGTTTTCCAGGATTCCTTTAAGATCACCCACAGAGGTTCAGTGTTTATAAGGTCTCACGGGCCCCTGGGATATGAGCCAGGGACTTGGATAGACTTCCAGCACTTACGTAAGGGGTCACAAACTCAAATGTCTATATTAGCCAAGTAGTGGACAGGGGAGGGAGGGAGACTTTGGGAAACTAGAGATTCCTGACCAAAGTCAGCAGCACCTCAGATTTCATGACCCAGTGCTAAGCGTCCAACGATATCAAACCACTTAATAGTGTAAGAAAATAGAAGGGTTTTAGAAAGAAATATGTATATTTCTAAATTTGGGGGTTATACATTAGATTTGAGGTTCCACCCACCAATGACATGGATTGGAACTTTCTCCATGATCCTCCCCCTAAAACAAAAAACATTGCTTCATTTTTTGCCCATGTTAGTATACTACTACTGGCTTCTTCACTTAGGGCCAAAGAGATTTTTGTTGTTATTGTTGTTGTTGCTGCTGCTGCTCCTAGTATTTGGGGTTTTTTTTTGTTATTTTTTTTAATTTATTTATTTATTTATTAAAGATTTCTGTCTCTTCCCCACCGCTGCCTCCCCTTTCCCTCCCCCTCCCCCAATCAAGTCCCCCTCCCTCGTCAGCCCAAAAAGCAATCAGGGTTCTCTGCCCTGTGGGAAGTCCAAGGACCACCCACCTCCATCCAGGTCTAGTAAGGTGAGCATCCACGAAACTGCCTAGGCTCCCACGAAACCAATAGGTCCAGTAGAATCAAAAACCCGTTGCCATTGTTCTTGAGGTCTCAGTAGTCCTCCTTGTCCGCTATGTTCAGCGAGACCAGTTTTGACCCAGGTTTTTTCAGACCCAGGCCAGTCATATTTGGTTTCTAGCCATAAATAAAGGACATTGAACCTATAATTCGGGTTCTTAGAGAAGCTAAATAAGAAGGAGAACCCAAAGAAAATCATATAGGCATCCTCCTGAATATTAAACTTCATCAGGCGATGAAAGGAGACAGAGACAGAGACCCACATTGGAGCACCGGACTGAAATCTCAAGGTCCAAATCAGGAGCAGAAGGAGAGAGAGCACAAGCAAGGAACTCAGGACCGCGAGGGGTGCACCCATACACTGAGACAATGGGGATGTTCTATCAGGAACTCACCAAGGCTAGTATTTGGTTTTATCAGTCCTTTCTGCCATCAGTGTCACTGTGCGAGGATCAAGCCGGTACCCACCACCACACTTTGCTCTTTGTCTGAGCCTCTTTTGTAGCTTTTAGAAAGTCTTTGTCCTTAGGGCATATCAGTCTTTAGTATTCCTAAAGCTATGTTGCAAACTCACACTTCCCTCATATTCCCCATAGAATATTATGCCATGCCATTTTTCTATGTTTTATTCATGTGCCATTTAAATCTGAGCTCACCAGAGAGTTCCTGGGTCCAGCCTTGCTGCTTTCTCTCATTGTATGCCCTGACTCTGACCTTTTAAGTAATTCTGACTCAAGGCAAGCCAGCAAGGAGTCTGTAGGTGACAACATTCTAGGCAGTATCGCAGGGCCAGTCTTTCCTTCTACTACCTTTTTGGTCCTAGTCTTTTCCTTGCTTCTATTTGCTCCTGGACTTGGAGCTCATCACCTAGCTCTTACAAGGTACGTCTGGATCTTTGAAACATACCTTTCATATTTGGAACTGGGATGTTGTAGATTCCCTCGGCTCATTTCTTCAGCACTTAAAATCCTCAGGAATAACTTCATACCATCTTCCTGCTCCCAGATAAGACCAAGGCTGACCAACTCCAGCTCTAGCCTAGAAAGACAAGACCTGGTTTTTCTTTCCTGCCCCCATGGAGGAGGTGAAGAATTCGTTCTACACACCTTTAACCCGGTGCACAGAGCACAAAAAGAATCAACTCCTCATTAAGCACCTCCCACCGGCAGCACAGCACGATGGACTTTTCCTGGATTGTCTCTCTTAATTCTAAACTCAATGATAGATAGTAAAACCAGAAAGTACTCCTCTACAAATGTAGTAACTTCCCTGAGATGACATGGTAGGAAGATTGAGCTGAAATCTGAACCTGTGCTCCTTATTTTCAAAGGCACAAGGACTATTCCTTTCTTACTGACGAAAGGAAGTAGTTATGTAGGCAAAACGCCACCAAGCAAACCAGAAACACAGATACTTAAAAAATGAGCCACAGCCCCCTGCAGACTCTTACCTGTGTTCACACGCATGTACTTTAGATTGTCACCTAATGTCTAGCTACAAGCCTCAAGCCTCTACATTAGAGTTTTTTGAGAAAAAAAAAAGCCTAGCAAAGAAAAAAATGGCATTGGAGTCTGATTTTGCAGCATGAACTCATTCTAGAAGCAATGATTAAACACCTATGACATTCTAGGCTTTGAGCCAGCAGAGGGAATATAGTCGTCAAGGACAGATTTGGTTATTGCCTTAATGGAGCCATCTTTCCTATGCACTGGTTAAGTCGCTGCCCAATTTCCTCTCACACACACTCTTATGGGTTAGATGTGCCATTCTGAGGGACTAGCCATGGCACCAGATGCGAAGAAAAGAGGAGAATGCTTTACCTCTCACTCCACCGGCTCTCTACCAACAAGCTCCATTTTCTTTGTTCTTGATGACCCAAGTTCTCTCGTCCCACAGGAAGCTAAAGTTTTGTGTTTTAGATAGAATCTTGTTTCTATGTTGACATTTTTTAATCTCACGGATTTCTTTGCCTTAAATACACACTCAGCAATCTTCAACTGGAGCTATTGTTCCTTTTGCTAGTTCCCAACCCATGTCCACGAGAGCACATCAAACAGCTCCTAAAACCTTTACAATACAGCGATGTCCGCTACTATGTCCCAGGAAGCAGCTCTTCTTATTTTGCCCACGGCCCTTTTTCCTGTAATTGAGGCAATTTCACAGAGGTATGGGGGTGAGATAATGGTCTTAGATGCGGCTGCAGCTAAACTGTTGGACCAGCAAGGGCAGATCAGGATCGATGGCCTCTTCCGTCTGAGAACATTCAGAAATGCAACTCACTCTATCTGTGGTTGCTACTTAAATAACAGAAATACCAGGGAATAAGTAAAAAAGATATTCAAAAATGTCAAAAATCCTTACCATCATGAAGTTTATTTTCAAGCCATAAGAAGTTACTAAAACATGCAAAATATGAACTGGAAGTGAATCAGCCAGACTCAAGAAAGATAAATAAATCATGTTTTCTCTTGTATGCAGAAATGAAATTTTAAATTATATATGTGTATTTACATATGGATATGATATGCATATTTGCATACATGTCTTTAAAGTAGAAAGAAGATCATGAATGGGGAAGAAGAAAAGACAAGAAATTACAAAACACAGAATAAGCAAATTATATGAGAACTATAGAAAATAGTAGTTGATAATAAGTATGTAAAATAAGAAAGGGAGATGGGAAGAGCTACTGAGGAGGCAGCACCTGCATGTAGACCCACAGGTAATAAGGGACTTAGCAGCCATCATCTCTGGAGTTGAGGAAGAAGCCAATGTTGAGGGGAGGCTATGGGAGCATGTGGGCATACCCAGGGCAGCTATGGGAGTTTGCCTGGTACACCCAGGAAAATATGAAGAGAAGTAGAAGGCAGAGTTATAGGTCAAGGACATGTTAGAGTGAGAGATGTATGGCCGTTGCAAAGACCTCTTTAAATCCAGTTTAAACAGAGGTCTTCAGAGAACTTTCAATGGATAAAACCATGCTAAACTTAATATCTCAACAGCCCATTCTGAATGTGAGTAGAACAAACACGGACAAGACCGTGAGGGACCAGCCCACCTCTTCAATCCCCATGTCCTTTTACCTGGTCTTCTATCACAGATGCCTAAAGCGTGGCCAAGTCCTTTTCTTTTCTTTGAGCTTGAACTTGCGGCTACTGGAAATCTCTCTTCCAAAGAAAGCAGTGAGAAAGGCCCACTGAAGTGAACGGAACTGCCTGTGGATAGGAAAGGAAAGAACAGTTGGCATCTGCTTACTGCTAAGAAGTAAGTTCATAGCACTTGACACGCTAACCTGATTTGTCTTGTCGCGGTAACATAGGAAAGGCTCCCAACAGAAGGACCGGAAAGCCAGTGACAGATGTTGACCTCCACATTCCATCCCTGACAACTCTTCCTATCCTGGGACAACACACCATAAAGTATTCCCTCCAATAGGGAAAAACTGGGCTCCCTTGAACACCCGCCTAGAGGGCATAACGGTGCTTCCCAGCTGAGCCTGCAGCCCAAGTCTTCAGGAGCTGAAAAACCCACGATTACTCATTTGGTCACAAGCTAAATTAAACCCTACCTCAGCGAGCTAACCACAAGATAAAGGTGGGGCCGCTCATAAGAAATGTTAACCCAATGAAAACATGCCTGAAAGGATGTGTGTGTCTCATCATTACTCTTTTCCTACTCAGGAGGCATGAGAAAATGCAGGAAGAGGAGCCAGAGTTTGCCTCTGATAAATTACTTGAGGGTAGGTAGCATGGGTGAGGTCTGGTGGGAGGAATATATCTTTGTCACTTAACTCCTAGCATATCTAGGAGAGTCCACTCCTTTTTAACATTCCATATATATTACAAGGGAAAAAAAAAGGATACTTGGACCATTCCCACCCTCTTTCCCCTGATAGCTTTAACTATAGGTCTAGACAACATATTTCTCTCCTACTTGCTGATTTCCCAAAGTCTTGAAAGTCAACCACATCCTGACAGCCCTTGAAGAAATGGAGAGATTTTCAGAACTCTTGGATTTAAGTTCTGATCTCTTAAAGAATAACTATAAAAATGATGACTGGGACATCTTGAATAAACCACAGAGTGTGGAAGCTGGGGTCGCCAGGGTCTTATTTTCAGTACGGTAGCAAGATCCAAACCTAGGGTCTATACATGCAGTCAAACACTCTCACGGATCTACATCCCCAACCAAAAACTTTCAACCCCAATTTCTCTCTTTTCCTCCTTCTCCACCCCTCCCCCATCTCTTAACTATCAACAGGCTCTCATTATATAGTCCAGACTAGCTGTAAATCCATGACTCTGTCTTAGTCCCCTTAGTGATGAGATTACAGGTATGTACCACTGTGTCACTGATTAAGACCTAAATTATGCTCTGTTGATTTGTGTGTTAAAATTTTAACACCTGGTATCTCAGAACTGCATTTGGCAACAAGGTCATTTAAGAGGTTGTTAAATTAAACTGAGGTCAGGGGGGACTCTAATATAGCTGACATCTTTTTTTATTGCTTTTATTGAGCTATATATTTTTCTACACTCCCCTCCCTCTCCCTTCCTACCCTTTCCCATAATCCCCACACTCCCAATTTACCCAGGAGATCTTGTCTTTTTCTACTTCCCACATAGATTGATCCATGTATGTATCTCTTAGAGTCCTCTTTGTTGTCTAGATTCTCTGGGATTGTAAGTTGTAGGCTGGTTTTGTTTTATGTCTAAAAGTCACTTATGAGTGAGTACATAAAAATTGTCTTTCTAAGTCTGGGTTACCTCACTCAATATGATGTTTTCTAGATTTATCCTTTTGGCTACAAATTTCAAGATGTCATTATTTTTTCTGCTGTGTAGTACTCCATTATGTAAATGTACCACATCTTCTTTATCCATTCTTTGGTCAAGGGGCATTTAGAGTATTTTCAGGTTCTGGCTATGGCAAATAAAGCTGCTATGAACATAGCTGAGCACATGTCCTTGTGGTATGATTGAGCATCATTTGGGTATATACCCCAAAGTGGTATTTCTGGGTCATGAGATAGGTTGTTTCCTAATTTTCTGAGGAATTGCAATACTGATTTCCAAAGTGGCTGTACCAGAATGCATTCCCACTAGCAATGCAGGAGTGCTCCCTTTACCCCACGTCCTCTCCAGCATAAGCTGTCATCAGTGTTTTTGATCTTGGCCATTCTTACAGGTGTAAGATGGAATCTCCGGGTTGTTCTGATTTGCATTTCTCTGATGGCTAAGGATGTTGAGCATTTCCTTAAGTGTCTTTCAGTCATTTGGGGATCACCTGTTGAGAGTTCTCTATTTAGGTCTGTACCCCATTTTTTATTGGATTATTTGTTCTTTAAATGACCAGTTTCTTGAGTTCTTTGTATATTTTGTAGATCAGCCCTCGTCTGATGTGGGGTTGGTGAAGATCTTTCCCCAATATCTGACATCTTTAAGAATTGTCTAGAATATAGCCAATGGAGAGAACAGGTGAGAACACAGAGTGGAGACAGATTTAAGGAAAAGCCTACCCTGCCTGCACCCAGATCTTATATGTACAGCCTCTATGTCCATGAGAAAATCAATGCCTGTATGCTAGTTGCTCAGGTGAGGGGTTTTGCTACGGAAACCTGAGCACCACATACAGGTACCTTAACAATGGCACTGGCGAGGCTGGGCTTCTAAGCAACAGCCTAGCTCTAACGCTCCAAATAGACAAACTCTACTATCAACATCGCTCAGGAAAGGGGCTGCACTGTGGACAGGTTGTAAATTCCTTTATCTAATTGTGTTCTGGTGGCCAATATTCTTGCTGACCTTTTCCACTGGTCCAGCTGTCGCTCTCTACCACCTTGTCACATTCCTCTGTCTCCTTCATCCGGACTCTCTGTAGCACATCTGGCCCCCTCATTTTACACGTTGTGCATGTCATGCCTTGTCCCCAGAACACGCAGATGTGCCCAGTGGAATACATCCTTCTTCCTCGAGATTTGTTTTAGCTGGGTCATCCCCTCAACTCTCACTCCCAGGTGTGCATTCCCTTTAGGCTGTGAGGACTTGCATGTGCCAACTTGCTTTCTGTGTCATGGTCATGACAGCAGCCACACTCTACTTGTGATTCTCCACATGTGGCAGATGTCACTGGGGATCCGGGGCCCTGGCTCAGTAGCTAACTTGTATACAAGAATAATTCCCAGAGGCATCTTTCCTTTAGCAAAGTGTGAACTAGACACACACACACACACACACACACACACACACACAGATTTATCTCAGCAGATACACATGTATATAGTCTGCTGTTCACTGGACTTATCCACTAATCTCCCATGCTTTTGCATTATGGTGAATTGCTCAGTGTAGTTCTATTGCCCCGGGGACCCTCTTGGTAATTTCCTAATTGCCTCAATAAAGCCTCTCTTTTCTCCCAGCTCTGTCTGCCTTCAGCCTTGAGATTTCCTAATGGAAACCACTCACTCCTATTGGACTCCCAGGCTGTAATTAGCAGTCTGGGACTTTGGTTTCCTTATTCCTGTTGGTGTGAAGGTGAGGCCATTGCCAAAAACATTGTCAGTGTCAGCGGAGCAGCCCCTTGAAGAGAGCATATGATGGAGTTGTTACATGTTGACTGTCTCCTGTGTATTTATTGACTGAAACATTTGAGCTGTTGCTTTTCACATTTGTAATTTTAGATCACAGATGCCTAGCGAGTTTAATCATACAGCAAAGCTCACATTTAATGAGAAAAATGTCAAGTATATTGTTATCCACCATAAAAGCTGTGAAAAATATTTCTGCCATCTGCAATGTGCCTTCTGCTGTTGCCTCGAAGAAATTTTCTAGTAACAACACAAAATTAACAGTTGGGCAAACATTGTAAAAAAAAAAAAAGGAAAGTTACTGACGCTCCTGAAACTCAGACCATGCCTCAATGTCACGTCAAGATACTTCACCTAGATTCCCTGAATAACTTGCTACTGGATGACGTGGTATCCTGCGTACCTCACACCTTTGACATTCTGCTGGAGATTAACTACATCCTAGATCTGGCTACATCAGCCTCTAGGTAACAACCTGCAAGGCATTCCCTCTCTAGCTGTCATGCATCGGCACGTTCCCTGAACCTGTCTCATCCTTACTCTTGCCTCCCTGCGGGGCTCTACATTCCAGCCAAGTCAAATTCTGGGTCACTGGCTGAACTTACCTCCGTGTTACTGCCGAGAAGAACAACTTTTCTCCCCTCTCTGTGGTTATTCCTACACATCGTGCCATATCTACCTCAGTGTCATTTGTGGGAAACCTTGAGGGACACTCCCCCAAGGATGGATCCCCTGGAGCCTTCCGTGTACGCTGCCACAGTATTTCCACCTCAAGTCTCTGCATGTGGATTCCTAACGCTTCGTGCACCAGCCTCTTCTTGCTCAACTGAGCTCCAGGTTTACAGGGGTACCGCTTTCTGATGGCAAACTGGCTGTGGCCGCTGCTTTAAAGGACTCAGAAGCAAACGAAGTCACTGTAACAGGAGTAAGCGAAGTCTCTTGCCCAGGAACTTGCTCTTTTGACGTTGGCAACACAAAACCTTGCCATTATGCAGGCTGTGTTTATTTCTAGGTTTTCTCTCTGTATTTTAGCCCTTTCTCCTACTGAAAGAAATAACAGTCCTGTCAGTCAGGGAGCAATTGATAGTGATAAAAACTCTCTTTTTAGACAGTGAGTTCACTTGTTCTTAAGTCATTCTTTGCCACAAACTGCAGGCTCATTATACGAGGAAAATGTGGTATCTCGGAGAAGCCACACTCTTAGAAGTTTGTAATTTACCTCGCCTGATGACTAAGGTCTGGAGGTTTGTGCTGCTTATTTGAGTGTGGTTTGGGTGGGGAGGCGGTGATAAACAAAGCCTGTCTTACTCATTGGAGCTGAGCTGTGGGAGTTGTGTAGCAATACCTGTTCTTTGGACAGCACCTTCTGCTTTTAGGGGGCCACAGTATAAAGCACCCTTCTCACAACTTCAGTGTGACCCCAAACTCTGAGCAGGTGCTCACTACACATGGTGTACCTCACCCACAACCCATCTTTCCCTTTAATCCCATTCATCTTCTGAATTCCAGTCAAGACTTCAGCTGTGAGACATCAACTCTTCTTATACGACTTCTGTCAAGAAAAAAATAAATGGCATTGAGTTCCCACAGCATCCTCAAGGAAAGACACAGGGTGAACTTCAGGTAGAAGGTGACCTGGGAAATGGAGAGCAGGATGGATAAGTGAGACTCCTGTCACTCAGCACCCAAGTAAAACCATACCTAGATTTTTATCTTAATTAATATATAATTGTAATATTTCCCCTGCTTTCCTTTCCTCCCTCCAACTCTTTCCATGACCCCACTTCACTCCTTCTTAAATTAATGATCTCTTTGTCTTTGATTATTATTGTGACATACATACACGCACGCATCCACACATATACATACATACAGAAATACAGAAATACAACCTGCTGAGTCTGTTTAGTGTTGTTTATGTGTGCATGGGTATGCAACTGTCTGCTGGAGCATGCCTGGCTTCTAAGGGCCTTCATCTCGGGGGTGTCACTGCATCATCCACATCTCTGAATCAACCGCATCTCTGCATCATCNGAAGATCACTTTATTTTGGATAACCAAGTAGGGGAATCATCCTTGAGAAAGACTAATTCTTCCTCACTGAGCAGTCATACCTATCATCTTCGTTTAGGGGTGGGGCCTCCAGAGATACCCCCTTCCATGTTTCCATGTGTACTGTGTTGTCATTATTAAGGTCTTGTTTGGGCAGCCATGTTATTGGGATGTGATATTATTGCTTTACTTTTCCCCTTCATTTCAGACTTGTACTTTTACTTTAGACAGTTTCCTTTTTCTTTTTTTGGCAAGAACATTGACTGAAAGGTTTATCATAATTCCTTCATTCTTCAGAAGACAACCCCTCTCCACGCTCTACTGAGCATGTACAGTTCAGAGGCTGAAAAATAGAAGAACTCTCACTTTAATGACCGAGAGCTGTGCCATCCAATATGGGAGCCGATGGTCACAGGTATCAATTTGCCTTTACATGCAAATTGGTTCCTATCAAATACTAGACACCCCAGTCTCATGGTCAAGTGCTCATTGTCCACCTATGACTAGAAGCAACCACACTGAGCAGCCCCGATAGGGAACTTTCCATCAAAACAGAAGGGTCTATGGCTCCGTGCTATTCAAGAGAAGCAAACCAAGAAGCCTAACAGAGGCAAAGCTCAGAGCGTCTGGGTCCCAGTGCCTGCTTCAGATGCCTTCCCCACACACCTCTGGCACAAGATCTGAAAGACTGTAGCTTTCTTTTTCCTCTCTACTGAAAGAGGAAGATAGTTTATAATATTGTGGACTTTATAAATTTATAAAAATCTATTTATTGCAACAAATATTTTTTTAAAACACTTAGGAGCTAGGTATTATGATAAGTCTACAGAACAAGGCTGTAACAAGTTCTTCTGGTCTCTGAGTTTTCATAAGAGAATGATGAGGATAAAAATAATTACAAAGCAAGTGACAATAAATGACCATCATGTATCAAGGTAGAATGAAATGGTGGTATAAAGGTTGAAGAAAGTCTAAGAGGCGTTTTTCGGAAGAGTCCACACAGGAAGTGTTTCTAAAGTAAACCAGTTGGAAGAGGGATTGGTGTTCTGAGAAGCCTCAAATTTGCCTTCTGGCATAGACTTTACTCAATGAAATCTAGGTCTTTGCTCCCCTCGTTCCCTTCCACTCATCACTGAGCAACCTTTCTTTCATCTACAGAGCATGTTATTCAAACTGTCATGTGAAACACCACACACATACACAAACACACACATGTGCGTGCATACACATGCATGCACACACATGTGCACACACAGAGTAGGGAGAGAGACTAAAAGGCAATGTTAACAAAATTTAAAGAAGATCAGTTTTAAAGATATTGAATACCACTCAATGGAAGTCGGTGGTGACCAAAAGTCAAGAAACAACCCAAGTGAGCCCTGAAATTGCCCCCTGCCTTAACAAAGCCTCCAGGAGCTGGCAATGAGGAAGAACCTAAGCTACTAGCCACTCCCACTTCAACAAGGATAGAGAGTTGTATACTTCCATTTATATGAAATATCCAGAGTAGTCAAAGAGGGCAAAAGTACATGAGAAGTGTCCATGGGCTGAAAGAATGGATAACACCTGCTAATACATGTTTCTTTGGAAGCGATGACCCATGCTGTAAAACCAACTATGACAAAGGTTGACCTGCTTTGTAAATATGCTGAAAGACTGTGGGGCGTGAGTTTTAAAGTATATGATATGGTCAATCAACTTGATGGCATTTAAAGTAGACATGGAAACAAATTTCTGGGTATGTGTTCAAGGGATTGTCTCTCAATTAGGTAATAAAGGTAGAAAGACCTACCTTACAGGTGAGTGGTACCATTTCATGTGGATGGGTGGGGAGTTCCAACCCAAATATAAAGGACACATGGACCTGACCACAAAGATTCATTGCTCTGTATTTTCTGAGCATGGATCCAATGTAATCATCTCCCTCCTCCTCCTCCTGTTTTCAGGCCTTCCCTGTCACAGCAGCCTACATCCACCTGGAAATTTAGGAGATAAAAAAACCCCTTAGTTTAGTTACTTTTGTCTGAAGAAAAAAATTTAAAAAAAAAAAAAGAAAAAACGAAAAGATTACTGTAGAGAAGTATTTGTTAAAAAAACAAAAAAGTATGGTCCATTGTTGTGTCAAACCTGACCATGTAGTTCTTATGCCATTAGAACTGATTTATGGGAGGGATATGGAAAAGTTTGTAAGCTTTGGCTAGAAAAGCCCTTGAATTTTGTAAATAGAGCTTAACGGGTCATTCTAGCGAGATCTGGAAGTCAAGAATTCTGAGATAAACTCAAACAGTGCAGTCGATGCTCATGGGGCTTCAGAGGCAAACAAGTTTATAAGCCAGGCCTGTTTCTGTCAAAGGATCTGGCTACATTCTGCCACGTCCAGAGAACTTGAGAGAAGTTAAACTTAAAACAAACTTATTTGGTGAAGAAATTTTCAAGACAAGTTAGCTTTCAGATTGTGTTGTGGGTACTGCTGCTTGCTTTTAGGTCTACAGGGACAAAGATCAAAATGGAGATGAGAAAGAAAGAAAAATGTGAAGTTTGCAGTAAGGAAAGTCACAAGATTAAATTAACAAGTTTGGGCCAAAGAGAATGTAAACAACAATGTGTCTGTAATTGTTAAAACTGCAATAATAGGACAGGAGGTCACACCTGTCAAATTCCACCTCGTGAAAATACAAATTCATGTAAAAGGAGAACACCTAAGGCCAAACAGCTTAGTGGATAAGAATACTTGACCTTAAGCTTCATGTCTTGAATTCAACCCCAGAACCCACATGATTGAAGGAGAGAACTATTTCGCACTAATTGTCCTCCACATGTAGTGAAAAGCAAGTGAACATGTTCTCTCTCTCTCTCTCTCTCTCTCTCTCTCTCTCTCTCTCTCTCAAAACAACTTTCTAATAAAGTGTTTCCCCAGAGTCAGCACATAAGAGCCAATGCAACTATGGCCCAAGGAGGTAGACTCCATCTTGAGCTGACAGGAGAACACTGTAGCCCTGTCCACATAGTATTGGTTTTGGAGTCATGAAGTCTTACACCACTTATTCAAAGAGGACTGAAGCCAGGCAATGTATGGCATGGTTGGTGTTCCTGCCAAGAAGACCTTTGAGACCACTGTAGAAAGTTTTGAAAGAAAAGCCTAAGCTGCATGGGCGACTCTGGATTTAGGAGATGCCAGGACCATGAGACAAAACTGCTAACACAGAAGTGTGCTGGCCAAGAGAGTGGCTGTGTGTGCTGCAGGTAGCAGGACTGGAGAGTAGGCACCCCTAAGCCCTTTAGAGCCCAGTGATTTCATCGCAAGTCCCCAAAATGGACATGGAACTGTAGGGCTTGGTGTTTCCCTGCTAGAGTTTGGTCTTAGAATGAAATGACCTCTTTATTCTTTAGAATATTTACTCTGAGTCATCGTATGTTGAAGATATGCAACTTGTTTTTTTATTTCATAGGAGCACACAGGTAAGAGACTGCCTAGAGTTTCAGATAAGACTTAGATTTTGGACTTTTAAATAATGTTTAAATTGTTTTTAAAAAGACTGTGAGGGTTTTTGAAGTCTGATTGAATACATTTGGGATTGTCATGAGCCTGTGGGGGCAAGAGATAGAAATATATGGGTTCGCCGAAGGCGATGTCCCCAGTTAGTCCCTTGGGAAGCTGAGGATAGGGAACCTGAAATGACCCTATCCTATAGCAATACTGACGAATATCTTTCATATCACCATAGAACCTTCATCTGGTGATGGATGGAGATAGAGACAGAGACCCACACTGGAGCACTGGACTGAGCTCCCAAGGTCCCAATGAGGATCGGATGGAGGGAGAACATGAGCAAGGATGTCAGGACCACGAGGGGTGCACCCACCCACTGAGACAATGGGGCTGATCTATTGGGAGCTCACCAAGGCCAGCTGGACTGTGACTGAAAAAGCATGGGATAAAACCAGACTCTCTGATCATGGTGAACAATGAGGGCTGATGAGAAGCCAAGGACAATGGCACGGGGTTTTGATCCTACTTCATGTTCCGGCTTGGTGGGAGCCTAGCCAGTTTGGATGTTCACCTTCCTAGACATGGACAGAGGGGGGAGGACCTTGGACTTTCCACAGGGCAGGGAACCCTGACTGCTTTTTGGATTGGACAGGGAGGGGGAGAGGAGTGGGGGGAGGGGGAGAAAAGGTGGGAGGAGGGGGAGGGAAATGGGAGGCTGGGAGGAGGCGGAAACTTTTTTTTTTCCTTTTCTCAATAAAAAAAAAGAAAGAAAGAAATATATGGGTTCAAAGTAATGCATTTGGGTGTCAGGTTTACAAGGGAAGTGATGATGGCTAATCTTGATGGCATTTAGAATCACCATGGAATAGATTTCTGGACATGCTAGTGAGGGAACATCTAGGTTAGGCTGATGATTTAGGAGGGAAGATCCACCCTAAACATGAGCAGTACCATTCTATGGGTACCCAAACTGAATAAAAAAGAGAAGTCAAGTTGGTTGCAAGCAGTCATCCGACTGACCACAGTGTGACATACTGTGACAAGTTGCCTCATGCTCCTGTTGCCATACCTTCTATGCCATGATGGATTATGTGCCCAGGAAATAGAGGACAAAGTAAGCCCTTCCTTTTTAAATTTTATTTTGTCGGGTATTTTGTAACAGTAATAATGAGTTACTAACACAGTACATTAATTATAGTTCAATATATTATATAAAACATTTTTTTTAGGGATAGCATAAAAGTTAGAAACAGAGAAGTGAAAATGACGCTCAGTATACCTGACAGACATCCTGCTACTCTGTTTCTTTCGGGGTTTCATTTCATTCTCTGTAAGTAGATATCACTGCTGTTTGTCAATTCTCTATTTCAAAACACATGCTGAGCTCATTTCTCTCTGCCCCTGAATTAGGCTGCTCCGGCTTCCATAACAAAGTGTCATGGATTATATGCCTTAGACAACTGAAATTTATACTCTCACATTTGTGGAAGCTGGAACTGAAGAGACACGATCCATTTCTGGGGATTGGAGCTCTTCTGGTATCCCCCTTGCGTGGTCACTGACCTCTGGTGTCTGCTCCTTGTTTCTAAGGCTTAATTATTTAATCTCCCCTGATTAGGGAAGCCTCCATTATAAACATTTTATTTTACTTGATGATCTTTGTATGTATAATTTCAAAATTTTCACATAATGTTTCAGAATTAAATTTTAATTATTTTAAATAATTTTATCTATTTTAAATAATGAAATGTTAATCATCTCTCCAGGGATCTTTTCTATGCTTATGATTTTATCTGTTTTGAATTAGTTCCTCATGTTATATCCCCAATTGATATTAATGGACTAAACCATCAATCACTTTTACAGATGTTGATCTGATAACTTTCACTGTTACCAGTAGTATGTAAATATACATACCCTACCACATGTTCACAAATATTGGATAGTATTATTAAAGGAATATAGTGGTCCTTATTTTAGTGCAACAAGTCATTTGAAAACATCCTTTTAAACAGAACTAATAAATTAAAAATATTTGCACAAATAAAAGGTGAATACTATATTTTGGAAAGCAGACCTTGAAGTGCACTAAAACTTGTACTCGACGTTCTGTGGAATATTTATATTCATAGGTAGGAAGGTGTGAGAACTAGGATTTAGTTTTAATAAGTAGGTGGAGTGCAAATTCTATGAAGGGAGAGATTAGCAAAGGGTTTGCTTCTCTTCCTGGGCTTTTCACACAAGCCAAGTACTTGATGAGCTTAACATTGCTGGTAGGAATCAGTATGGATGTTTCTAAAACCAAACAACCAAAGCCTACAAATAGACCTACCAGATCCAGCAATAACACCCCTGATACTTACTGGGAGGACACTAACTCGACATATCACAGATATTCGCACATAACTGTTCGTTGCAGCACTATTTACAAAGGTGATATTGTAGAACAACCTATGTGTTCACAATCAGAGAAGTGGAGAATGCAATGTATATACACAACAGAGTCTTTTGCAGTCATAAAGAATGAAGTTCTGTCATTTGTGGATGTTGGCGTGGCTCAGTTTTAGAATGTTTGCCTCTATGCAGTAGGTCCTGGGTTCTAGCTCTGTCGTGGGGTTAGAGACAGAAACTAACATTAATCAAATATTTCAGACTAGGTATGTAGCCAAGAGCTGTGCATGCAGTACTTAAGAAACTTTAATAACATGGTGATGTCCACACGATTAAGAGCCATGTACCATGACTACCAGGTGCAAGAGGTGGGAAGACCCTTTAGTTATATCACTCTGGTATTCTTAGAGCAGATTCCAGAACTTGTGTCTATGCCTTGAACTCTACATGGTGGATTTCCATGGAGGGAATATGGCCTCCATGTCATTCCCCTCCCCCATGTACTCAGAGGGTATCCTGTTCTGGTCTCTTAGACTGCTTCTCTTCCACACTTCCCCTTGCAGAAGTCAGTCTGAGAGTAGGGCTTTCCGACCAGTTCATCCTACTCCCTGGTGACCTAGCCTCTCGAAATCTTCCAGTTTATAGAGAAGAAATGCAGGAGTACTGGAAAAGGGAGAACTGGAGGACGGAGAAGAGAATGTGAAACAAAACTAGGCTGGAGAGGAGATAAAATGTCTGTAGATGCCTTGCCATCGGCGTATTCGATCAGTGGCTGAGAGAAAACTGCCAGGAGCCCTGGTGGGGCGGGAGGGCAAAAGCAGCAGATCTTCAGTTATAACTAAGTGGTCACTCAGCCTCCAGTTCCTGCTTTATGTGATAGATAAGTCTGTTTCCCTTTGGCATACGGATGCATAAATACCACTGTTGAATAAGCACCATGGGGTTAAGCCTGATGCACTAGCTACAGCATATGCCCACCAATTCCCATAATGACTCTGGGACTGGTGCCTCTATACCTCCCACAGAGCAAGCTCACAGGCCAAACTTGCCTAACACCTGCTTTTGTATGGCACGTGTGCTAAGAACTATCATTATATACTTAAATGGTGTAGAATATAAAAGAAGGAATATTGAGTGACAGATGAAAATTAGGCCTAATTCTAATTTTGGTATCCATAAAGTTTTATTGGAAAATGGCTCTGCCCATCCACTTGCATGTGATCTCCAGTTTGTTTCACTCTGATGACTGTGTCTGTATAGCATGGAAAACTGAAAATACACTACCTCGTTTTTTACATAGGACTCCCCCCCCCCATCACTACAGAAGGGTACCCAAGTCAGTGATTTATAAAGAAAAGGAAGGAAGTCTCTTTGGAATCACAGTTCTGAAGGTTTGGAGTTCCAAGACCAAGACCTATATCTGGTGCTAGTTTTCTGCTGCTTCACAGTGTGCAGATGTTAAAAGAGCAAACGGGTGCAGGGGGCTGCAAAAAAAGCAAGGAGCAGCCTTGCTTGATAGCAATCTATTGTCACAAAATCACACCCAGTGAGAAAGCATTGATCCCTCCTAATGAGCTAATCATCCCCTAAAGGGGAATTCAATAACATCCTAACAATAGTCTCACAGGAGACTGAACATACCCCCAATTATAGCACCCCAGGTATGAGCAAAGATCACAAGGGCCAGAGGGACTGAAAATTTCACTTACTTGTAAGGACCCAAAAGAGAGTGTTAACCGAGCTGCTCTTAGAATGTCCACACTCCGGCTTCTGGGAAGAAGAAGCAGTTGGATGTCATTGGCTTCAATGTCATTCTGGGCTGTGCTGAGGATAAATTGACAGTGAGCACATATTGCTTCTGTTCTTCTAAAGGTGTATCCTTCCAACCCCAATTGTTCTGCAATGTGTCCCAAAGAAATGAGATCCAGGAAAGCCTTTTTTGCTTCACTGAGCTGCTGTAGATCCTGGGTCTTTTTATGGTATAATTGGAAGCATGAAAACTCCAGGAAGGCATAGGGCTCATAGAAGCATTAAGCGAAATAATCTCTTAAACTGTCAGAAGTAAAAGGCAAGTTAAAGTCACATTTCCCTTTCAATATAAAAACACAAATTTAACGTCAAGGTACATGTGTGTAAAGTTCTTCCCAGTTTCCTGAAAGCCTGCAAGGAATAACAATCCAGAGAGGCTGAACCTATCTGGTATGTAGACACAGGCTAGGTGTGTAGCAGGTTTTTAAAAAACCAAGGGAATATAACCAAGAGTTAGGGACGAATCTCCAGATAACACATGGCTGACTTTCTGCAGGACTGTGCCAGAAGAAACTTACTATTTATCCATCAGCTAATCTCAGGTAAGGGTCCACGCTGTCCCAGCAAGTACACACAACGCACACACAAGGCAGGCAAGGTGCTGCTTTTCGGCAACAGACATCATCACGCAGCAGACAATCCAACACAGCTGGTGATGAGTCTAGGAGACGAACACAAACCACGGCAAAGGTTAGTAGACTTGCACCGAGTGACCAAAGAAGCTCTCTCTCGGAGTGGCGCTTTGAAGGAAAGCAAGTCTGCCTCAAAGGAACAGATTCCAAGCAGAGGGAAGACCGGTCAGGAAAGACTTAGTACAGATTCAGGAGTGTCTGAGGAACAGAAGAGATGAGGGAGTGCTAGAGCCGGTGTAGGGCAGAAGGAAGGAACCAGAAGAGGTGAGACCTTTGTGGTCAAAAGGCTGTTGATCTAATTTCATTCTTGGGTAGAGGTGGTAGGTGGAACGGTGTCTCCCAAAAGACAGACTGAGGCCTAACATTTGGTGCCCTTGAGCGGGAGCTTATTGAGGTGCAGGCATCTCCCTTCCCCTCCCTCTCTCCCTCCCTCCCTCCCTCCCTCCCTCCCTCCCTCCCTCCTTTCCTCCCTCCCTTCCT